AGCTCCTCAATCTGAGTGTTTCTAGATGTGTGAACTTTAACTCCTTGAAGCATAATCATTGTTGAGCAGTCTGAAAAGCACACATTTGAAGGATGAACAGGTTGGGAAAAGCTATTTCAGATTGTGATTATACATCTAAAAACAGATTATTCAATGGTTGAAGTTATATCTCAATTGAACTGAGAAGAGGAGTCAAGCTATCCCCCAAAGCACATAAGGTCAGGATAAGAAGCAATAGATGGAACCTAATCAAGGAGAGAAGCAACCTAAAATTAAGAAATTTCCTGCCAGAACAATTATTATGATTTTAGAAAGGCAAGGGGTTTTTATCTTTATCTTTTTCCATTTGTTAGGATCCCTCAGCGAATACGGATTGGATTTAGTTTGGTTGCCATCTTCTTGGTCTTCATGGTAACAGCGATCGTAGTCAAGGTCCCAATGGAGCCTTTGACTTTTTTCATCGTTACTATGGTCAAGATAGTCCTAATCAATTGTAAGTGAAGTGTGTGTGTGTGTGTGTCTGTACACATTTATGAATTGTTAAAGTGACCACACCTTTTCTATTCTCACAGATTTATATATACATTTACAGATAAACACATTCTGTCTCTGATGTGCAATACTTCACCCTTACCTGTGTTTGAGAATATAAACATTTTTTTTTAGCATTGAGCTCTTTGTTAGGATATTGAAATGGGTGGAATGTAATTCTTGCAGATCCATTTTTTGGCAGTGAGAGGATAGGCAAGAGCAGATAGAAACATTTCCCATCAATGATCAACATAGCATGCATTTACATCCTGCCCTTTGGCCTTGGATTCATTTTATAGTGTTTACTTTCTGTGGATAAGATCTCTTTGCGATTCCCCTTTAAGTGGTTTTGTCTTCTTCTTTCTTTTTTTTGACAGCCTTTGGGGCCATTCTCCAAGGCAGCCTTTTTGGATTGGCAGGGCTCCTTCCCGCCAGTTACACGGCTCCTATTATGAGCGGTCAGGGCCTCGCAGGGACATTCGCAGCAGTTGCTATGATCTGCGCTATTGCCAGTGAGTATTACGTATTGCTTTATTGTTTTGGTTTATGCTACATCTTTCAACCCGTAAAGCAACCAAGGCGGGGTATACATTATCTCTCTCTGTAATATTGATGTAGAGCTGTACATCACCTACAGGCCTCCTCTGATATTTCAGAGAGCAAGAGGTTTGTTGAGAAGCCACCCATCACTAAGGAAAGAATTGCCACTTTTCTCTAAATCTTTTTCAGCTGGTTCCGAACTAAAAGAAAGTGCCTTTGGTTACTTCATCACTGCCTGTGTTGTGATCATGATAGCTATTGGCTCCTATATCATGTTGCCTCGTCTGGTAAGGTTGTTTTTTTCTGAAAACAGCCCTGAGTATGCTGTGAGAGTGGGAAAGTGTGGGAGTGTCCTGACATGCAAGCACCTTTGTGCAACATTTGCCGGGCTCTTCATTCAGTCCATGAATCATTGGGAAGGTACCCAGCTTGTTTCAGAAGAATTCCCATTGTCCAGCCACAACCTAGTTGTTGTTTTTTAACCCCTGCTTCATTTTCCTTCTACACCACCTAAATAGTACGTTAATATTTCCCCAGGATTTTTTCTGCTTTTATTCGATGAAGAATAAGAGAGAATATGCAACTTCTGCGACTCAGGCTGAAATGGAAACAAAAGTTGTTTTCATCAAGAAAGGTAAAAACTAGAGCATGGAAAGAAGGAGGGTATTGTATTCATGTCCGTAAATGCAGGGTGAAAATACAGTAAGTGCTATACCAGACATTCCCAGGTTACAAATAATATTGCAACCAATGGTAAGGGATGCTGGAAACTGTAAATCAGTCATCTATTGAGGCTTAAAGGTAGCAAATCTCTAATTTAACACATGTAGAGTCCTCATCAGAACCTCAAGGCAATTTAAAAAACATAGCCTATTTTTATTCTGTTTATCCACTTATTGCCTTCTAATTTCTTCTCAAGTTAGCAAGTTAAAATGAAACCCATGTTCGTCATCACCTCAACACATATTGATGGCTTAGCATGAGATTTCTTATACATTTTCTACCAGTAATAGTTTCATCTAAGGCTCTCCAGAATAACCAGCTGCCAGCAGCCACTGAGCAATTTTTTTTTATTTTCTAGCCTTTGCTATTCTCTTTCAAAGATTGTATGTGAGAAGAAATATACCGAACTTTGAATACCCACCAGTTTAGAAGGCTGGTGATGAAAAAATGAACTCTTGTTTATTTAGGCAATGTCTCCAAAACACATTTTGAGAAAAACAACTTATTGAAAAGCCATAATAGGTTTTACAACCTGTCTGTTCTCAATAAATTTCCCTAATATTCTACACTGAACTAAACATTTCATTCTGATTTCTGCAGTCAAGAACTCAAAATATTTTTTTCATAAGCATTCATAGGCAAAACAGCAAGGACTAAAATGTCACAGGCAGCAGTGACTAAAACAGTTCCATTAAGATAAAACCACTTTAAAATAGCATTTACTGTAGAAGCATTTAAGAAACTTCTGGGCAGAAAACATCTTGGCCTTTCACCAAAGTGATTCTTGGACAGTGTCTCTGGAAATAACATTTCATGACTGAGGACTATTCAGACAAAGTCACTTGCAGTTCAGAATGTAAAGGCACTTGGAGAACAGATCTCATTGACACCCAAGGCATGGGCAGGAATGAAGGATAAGAGGCTCTTCTTCAGATACCGTGGCCCTGAATTGTGCAGCGTTACAGCATAAAATTGGCCTTTTAAATCAGGTACAGGACTGGAATGGGACCAGGGAAAAAGATACAGTACTGGTTCAATAATAGTGTGCAGTCCTAATTTCTGCAAAATATATGTATTAAACGTTCATTTTGTCCAACTTGTTCTTTTCATTGGTCCACAGATGTGGTTAATGGTGTTGAACGAAACCACTCTGGGAATGGAGAGTCCCTTGCCTCCAGCCACAGATCTTCAGTCCTTGACATCTTCAAAAAGGTACTTGACCTATGGATTGGGCCTAGGTGTGGATTTTCTTTTCACACTCTAATATTCTGCTTCTGTGTTTGTTTAAAACTGTTATCTGGAATTCTATGATTGTATTTGCCTTTGCAAATATAATCATAAGGAGGATAGGGAGCATGATGGCCCAGCGGTTAAAGATGCTGAGCTTGTCAGTTGGGCTGGAAAAATGTCTGCTCGGTTTTGAGACCCTAGCACCACACAACAGGGTGAGCTCTCGTTCCTGCCCCGGTATCTGCCCACCTAGCAGTTTGAACACATGTAAATGCAGGTAGATTAATAGGCATCATTCTGGTGGGAAATCACTGCACCATAGGCGTATAGCCATGCTGGTTACATCACCACAGAACATGTCTTTGGACAATGCTGGCTCCCTCGGCCAAGAAACAGAGATGAGTACCATGCCCCAGAGTTGGACACGACTGGTAGGGAAACCTTTACCTTTACCAATTTGCCTTTGCATATATATTCTCTTTGTAGATATGGGTTATGGCTGCTTCAGTCTGCTTAGTTTTTACTGTTACAATTGGAGTCTTCCCAGCTGTCACTGTTGAAGTAAAGCCAACTATTGGAAAAGATACACCTTGGGGTAAGTTAAACTTGGTTCTTAAAACTGATTAAGGTGCGCAATGATGAGACCGTTTGTGAATCTTTCAGAACTATCTGCACTCCTGCAATCTTATGACAGTGTAATCTGAACTCTATCTAAATCCAAAGAACAGACAAAGGGAGACATTTATGGTTCATTGATATTTGGGGGTTGAATTCTCACAACATTTCACATCACACCATTTCAGTTGGGTCATGTCAGGGTTTTGACTAACCCATTCCAAAATGTGAAATTTCTTCTGCTTCGACGGGTCATTCTGTTCTAGATGCATTTGTGTGTTGCTTAAGGTTAATATTGTGATGCAAGGCCCTCATTTATTTAAGCTTCAGTGTTCTGATATTTCCTGTACAATTTGTTAAAACAATCCAAAATCCATTGTTGGGATCTCTCATTGTGATCCATCTACATCCTGAGGCTGCAAAGTTGGACCCAACCATGATACTCTCATGGCTTCCTTCGCAGTTGAGAAGAAGTACTCTTATTTTCGGTTTTGCTAACTTGCCACGTGTCTAAATAATGAAAATTCCACTTTCCATCTCATAAGCCCCAGCGTATCATTCCAATAGCCAGCTGACTTATCCATTTGGTATGCATACCACTGTTTCTTAATTTAAGTAGAATCTTAAAATCTGTTAATAGAAGCTATATGAAGTTCAGATCACATTCTAAGTCAAGGTATGGCAAGATTACAGAGATGTGCAAAGAGTTCACAAACAGTTTCTCTTGTAACCCAAACTTCCTCTGGAAAGCCTAGATCAGTTTACAGAATGTCTCCTGGCAGTCTGCTTAGCCTTAACTTTATTTGCCATCTGCTTTTGAAGGAGCCTCACTATGAGTAAAGATGATGAAGTGTGGGCGAATTTAGCCTGGAGAGTGGGAAGACCTGAAAGAAAAGGATCGGGTGTGGGACAAAGTAGTTAGGGAAATACTGAAAACCAAATAGACTCTATTTAATTTTCCTTATCCGATTAAGACACAATTTGTTTGTTTTCCTGTTTTGGAGGTGTTGCTCTTCCCACATCCATGTACATTTATGTCATTTATTATCCCACAATAGACTATATAGATACTTTATTGTTTATTTTATTTTATTTTTCACTGTCCAGTTCCACATATTTTAGTGTTCTAGTCCTTGATAATACGGAAAGGTTTAAAAAAGAATTAAAAATCATTATCACTGTGTTACATTAATTGAGCATTGTGATGATGGACCCAAATAGACTAGAGAAGTAATAATAGTCAAGACTAGAATTGAAGAAGAATGAAGATTGAATCAAGCTGTTGGCAGAAAAAAATCAGTGTTGAGACATTATGGGGTCACACTTCTTTCTGAAAACAGCAGGCTTGGAGGTTGACTTTCTAGAATAGATCAGACCAAAAGAAAAGTTTAAAAGGAATTGTTAAGTCTACCCAGATGTGTAGATAAGGTGCTGTTTTAGTCTCATGTCTGCCCTTAGGGTCTTCTCCTTCATCAGACCTAAACTGCAAACTCAGATTTCAGGATTCTGTTATGTTGACTTAGAGAAATAGATTCACAGGTGCATCAATAATGACTTGGTAAAAATCCCTCACAGCTTCCTGTTGTTATTATTATCTGTTTGATGAAGATGGAAAAGAGGACTATGTACTATTTGCCTAGCTAAAGTCGTATCAATATTGCCCTCTTGGTACACTGCAGCAGGCAGAGTCCTTGTCCTGAGACTGACCACGCTTCTTTATTACTCTCTCTTCAGTTCTCTACTTCAGCCCAGTTGCATGTTTCCTGATGTTTAACATCTTTGACTGGGCAGGAAGGAGCCTCACAGCTGTCTGTGTTTGGGTGAGTATAGGGAAACCAGGCATTTATGGTACTCCACTAATGCACCCTTCTTAAAGTTCAGATGTGTCTTCTGAGCTAGGATCAAGAAGAAAAAAAGGTACTTTTGTGAAACAGTTCTGAGGAAAAAATACAGAATTATCTGAGGAAGAATGGTGTTTTTTGTTCCGTTTTTCCACAATTTATTTATTTATTTTATTTATTCATTAGAATTTGTCAAACGAGGACAAGAATAAAAGAATAAAAATACAGTTTTAGGGACAATAGGCACGTTAGTGCACTTATACACGCCCCCTCTACTAACCATTTAAGTAGGATGTAGGGTCCACGGAAGTCAATTTGTGACTGAAACTGAAAATTTGTAGCTGAAACAACTGAATCAGGTAGAGCATTCCAGACTTCGACAACTCTATTGCAGAAATCATATTTTTTACAGTCAAGTTTAGAACGATTTACATTAAAGTGGTTGTTCGTGCATGTATTATTGCAATTAAAACAAAAAAAGTCATTTACAGGTAAAATATTACTGCATATAATTTTGTATGCAATACCTAGTTCTGACTGCAAGCGACACAGTTCTAAGTTATCCAGACTGAGAATTTCGAGCCTAGTAGCATAGGGAATTCTATTGTGTACAGAAGAGTGCAAGACTTTTTTCGTGAAATACTTCTGAACCCATTCAATTGTACTGATGTCAGATACATGGTGGGGATTACAAAATTATATGCAG